AAAACAGCACTGTCATAATCCTCCCAGTCCTCATATTTCTACGCGGGCACGATAAAAGAAAAGGTTTCTAACAAAAGGTGTTCTCCGAAAATCAAGAACAATAAATTTTGAATACTCTGTCCTCTGAAAAAAATAGACTAAACAATTCTTAAGTCGTCTAGGAATTTTTTAACACACACTGCAAGTTGCTGTGAAGTGCAATGTACCACAACTCCAAAATGATAGTGGCACAATCACTTCGAAGTACTTCATAGTCATTCCAATAATTGAAGTGTGAAGGGCGATCAGGGCAGGGAAGAAGTCGGACGAAGAGTCATGAATGGCAAAACTTGGGAAGCATCTGCAGTCTAGTCTACTCTGGCACGCTCCATTGTATACAGATCAACAACGTTTCCAATGGTTCGATGATCCGGACGAGTTATCTGGCCAAAATATAGGCGGCGCCTGAGTGGCAATTACAGTCCATGCGCCTCAATGGCAATGTGACCGTACCATTTGGTATAGACGTGGAGACTTGGACTTAGGCTTTAGCCTCGACGTAGAGTGACCCCGCTGACGGTGGAAAATGCAATGAGCTGACCCCGCCAGACAACGACAACCAAGACTATTACACGTGTCCTCTACCGCACACACTTGGAGGAATCTTCCACGAACCATGGACCAGTGGGCGGGACCGGAAGTTTTGTGACGAAATGCACTGAAGGGTACGGATCCACGTGTCGAACGCACGAACGTGAACAGGATTCACTTCAAACCTTCCCATGAACGTGGATCCGTACCTACCATGCATTTCGTCGCAAAACCACTTCCGGTCCCGCCCACTGGTCCATGGTCCGTGGAAGATTCCTTTAATACAGCAAAGGAGAAAGCTATTTACCAGAACCAAGAAGGAGGGCCTCACTGAAGTCCTCTCTGCTACAGATAAAGAACGTTGAGCTCATCGCAGGTCCCCTTGAACAGGACCAAGTGGTGATGTCTAACAAGAAATGTGGGCCCTGCGACTGCGTGAGAATCATGCGAGGGAGAAAAAAAGATGATAATGATAACCTCACCCTTTCTACCAGTGTCCGACGGCTGCCATTCGTTGCCTGTTGCCTAGGACACAATTTCAAGGAATTACGTGATTGAATAGGTGCGAAGTAGACCCAACATGACAGTACTGGTTTTGTGGTTAATTGTTACTGTTAAGAGCTGCTCCAGTCACATGGAACGCGGATCGGATGGGTGGAGCTTGCGTTACATCTTCTACAGCAGTCTTACTTGCTGGCCTCACCTCCCTATTGCATTCTACCATATTCTGAAATGCTATTAGGCCGACCAGAAATTATGTCACTTTTTGACCCTTATTTCGAAACAATATTTCAGCATAACGCGAATATTACCAACCGAAGTAAGAACTATTAGAGTGTTCACATCTTCGTGAAAGAGGGTCAAGTGCAGTTGTTTCCCTTGCATGCAAGTTTTCAGTTCTGAAACCGACAAAATCCTTGAAGTCGGTTGCGCCTTGGGTTGACTACTAAAGCACATATTTCTATTGCAACAATATATCGGGGCTCGTCAAGTGGTAGTCTATGAGGGGGAGTTTTGAATAATATTATGAGTGAGGCAGGGCTTTGTCTTTACTTTCGACTGGGGTCGACTTCACTGACTGAGGTTTCTGATGAGTTCTGATGAGCGCCGAATTCTAAATTTACTCTTCGGCCGTATTCGTTTCACTGAGTTCCAAGCAGCTGTATTGACAGGCCTGAAGCAGGTCACCATACATTTAGCATGACCTACAATTGGCGTAGCTTGATTTGGCAAGATGATTCCCTCATTACGGCCACCACTGAGCCAATTCCTATCGCACGCTACAAAACTCGAGAAAATAATCGCCCTTGTTGCGCAAAAGGAGGGCCGACAACAGCTCACACCGACAACTCCACTCCTGTGTGTCCAACTATTAGGTTGTCTCATAATTAGTGTCGCTTTTTTTTTAACAAAAAGTTTCCTTTTTAATCGTCAAGCTTTTACATCGATTCATATACCATTCGAAAGAAAATTGCCTGCTGTACAAGATGTTATGTTCATCTTCCACCTCTGTTCCAGGGTTTTCGAATTGTAGGTCTCCGAATTGGGAGGTCCAGATGACAAGAAATGACCAAACCGACAACTAGCTCTAACTTTATTTTCCTTGAGGAGAAATCAATCAATGATGTACCCTCTACTAACTCATGACCTCTTCTAAACATCCCACTCTTAGGTTGCCGGAAAAGCCTTGCCGTGTTTCTTTTCGAATTGGCTGACCGATAAGCCATAGCAAATTTTAAAATGAAATTGTTTCTCGTAAACGTCATTGTTTCATATAGGATGGTGTTCCTTTTGTGAGCACTGCTTCTGGTCTATTCGCTATTCGTTTTGTTTTTCTATTTGTTGGGAATTAGTTCGAATTTTGGTGTTTCGGAATAAGGTGCTTTATCCGCGAAAGTGACCGTACTTCTTTGTAAAAAAAACTTATACCTGAGAAGATGAGAGAATCAACCAGTCTACATTCCTAACTTAGTCATGACTTGTTCTTTATATTCTACTAGTTTTTCAATGACTCAGCTATAAAAAGTTTTTGACCCAGAACCGTCGCGACGCTACAGAACCGTCACAACGCGTAGATTTTACAAAAGTTAGGAGCAGTATTGTAGATTTCAGGTAAAGGTGCTCGACCGTCGAGTTCTGGTTGAAAAACCAGGTCTGGAAATGGAGCGACGCGAATTGTTGGGAAACCTAATGGTGTAATGATTAGACGAGGTCATGTATAAGTAGAGGGTACATCATTGATTGGTTTCTCCCAAGGGAAGATAAAGTTAACGACAGTTGTCGGTTTGGTCAATTTCTGTCGGCTAGAGTTCCCACTTCGCACGCTTAAAAATTTGTAAACCCTGCAACAATGGTAGAAGGGAAACATGGCATCTTGTAGAGCAGACAATTCTCTTTCGAATGGTATATGACTCGATGTAAAAGCTTGAGGATTTAGAAGAAAACATTTGTTTGAAAAAAAGCGACACTAATTATGAGACAACCTAATAGTAGGAGATCCACAGGTCCATCTTTCTCGACCTTCCACTTGGAAACGCTACTGAATTTTGCCCACCAGAAATGTATTTTCTCCTACAACTTCTTTATTTTGAAGTAATCCAGCGCAGAATCATATAAGCGACCTTCTCATCTCAATGATCGAATTTGCCACATCGATGCTACTGAAGTGGGGTGAACATTCCTTCGATGGCACTTCCTTGACTACACTCCTTTTGTAAGTTTCGAGCTATTTTTGCTGCACTCCCACTGAGCTGGAGTTTCTAAAAGTGGACTGATCAAATTCATTGGTTTGATGCCTCCACTTTAAATTTGAAAATTCTGCCAAAAATTCAAGCTATAGCAGTGACATTCAGATAAATTATGAGGAAGCGCATGAAATGAGCTTTCTGAATATGTGCAAGAACCTGATCCCTGCAAACGAATTCGCTTAAGACTTTGCGCAGAAGAAGCAGGGTTGCAAAATAACATTAATTTTCGGATAACCTAATCCATGAAGAAAAAAGACTGGCCAATGAAACTTCGTCTGCGTGGAGCGCAGATTCCCCACATAGATGGCTCCCACTGCGACCGTAGGGGTTCTTAGCGCCTTTTCTTGCTTCTGTCATTCCTAGTGTGCCATTAACCATTACACTTTCATTTTTGGGTCCCAGTGACACACACGTAATCAATGCTGGATATACCTCAACTGGGCAGTTTACAGAAGAAGTTTGTGGCACATGCTCACATGAAGATTTGGTATAGTTTATGATGTTGACACAAGCAGCCAGAAAACGCTTACGCCGTTAGCCCTCCTTGGAAGCCGACCAAGTCCTAGCCGTCTAATTGTCGACAGTTTCGCGACCACTTACGGTAATCACAATGTCTATCGGTGCCGGCGTCTCCGCACCGGCTTCTCTCAGTCTCGTTCGTTCACAGATCACTGCTGCCTCTCCCGTCGAGCATCGATTCGGCCTCATTTGTGGGCACGCTCGCCACTCTCAGAACACCCTTCCTTTCTTTGATTCCATCATACTGCGTTTCTTTGACTCTCAAGACTTCGAAAGATTGCCCAATTGCTAAAAATTAGCATTTCCCATAGGAGAAAAATCCCTGTTCCAAGATAGAGAAAAATCTGAACATTTTGAAAAAAAAAACTTCAAAAAAAAATTCGTAAGATATAGCCTGCCTCATCTAGTACATTAACATCCACAAGTTTGTTACTATGCATTGAAAATGAATTCACTTTCCGAAGCCTATTTCAAAATTCTACCTTTAGCACTCTGAACTTCATTCCTAATTTATAGTATCTTTGAGCCCACCCTTATTTATTGTCTTTCAAGTTTCTAATCACACTGAGCAGCAACTGTCAGTGGAAATTCACAGAAATTCTCTAGCAGCCTAACTGCCTCCGAACTATAGCCATCCATCGCTCGCTAATCGGCCCATTTGGTCGCACAAAGATCAGGATTCCGCACGAGATTCCCAATGCCGTGATCCTCTTGCTTAGCCGCTTAACTAGTATATCAGACTATACAAGTGTCTTCCCATTCTACCAGTTATTATGGCTTTCTTCATGAAATCCCTCAAAACAAGCGATAAAAAACTTGACAATCTTTAGGCGCAGATAAAAATCAGCACGTCCCAATCAATCCGTTCTCCATCTAGTAGCCGTCATCTAATTGCTGATGGAATAAAACATTGAGCTTCGTGTCGTCCTTCACCCTACCCCCCCCCCCCTAATCCGTCGTAGAAGTCAGACAATAGTCCAGTGGCTGAATGCGTGGCGCATTTTGCAGGGATTAATTTGCACGGCGCTTCAATTTCTCTTTTTCAATGATTACAAGATTATCACTTTGAAAATACTTCACGAGATGCTTCTCCATTTTTATAACGCCTTTCTATGTGTTTCTCCTCAACCGAACCTCATTGTCGACGTTCTCGCTAGTCGCTACATGCTTCGCTACAGTTACCGTTGCTTTCGTTCCAGATCGAATATGGTTGTGAAATCGAAGAAAGCCGTGACAGGACGTGGACGAGGTCGACCAGCAAAGGCAGTGAAAGACGATGAAGTCAACGGAACAGAGAAGGCTGCCGTGGCAAAGGTAAAATTTTTACCCTAACTAGACTTACAAGTAAATCTGGATCGGTATTCATAACCATCGCATCAAACTCACAATGATCAGAAAAGTGGCTACGATACACTTTTGTGGGAGTTTTGCAGACCACGAGTGGTTAGTTGAGAAGGGCTTGACCTTGGTTATGTGACCTTGATCACAATACTGCCTCGAACACGAGAGACTTAGGCTAGGCCAAATTCACGAAGAAGCCCTGTGACCCTTAGCGACGGTGTTTTGTTGACCAAAATCAGTGACAGTGGACAGAAAAACTCTGCAGGCCTCCACCTCTCCTACCTTCCTTGAGGTAATGAACACTTGGACTTTGATCCACTATTGGTATATTTATGCGATTACTACGGTACCTATTATGATACATCCAGAAACCTCTCTTGCGTTGTGTTTCTAGAAACCATGATCAATCGACTAGAAACCCAGTCACCACTCAGACGTCCATGGCTTGCAAGTTGTAGTTTAGAATAATCGCCATCAAGCGTTAGGCCTGAAGCTTTTAGATACCTCGCCACTCAAAGAGGGCCGTAACGAGCAACATGAATGGATGAGGAGGAACTTTGAGTCAGAATTTTTAGCACGAAACGTTAGGCAACTTCCCCACGATCCCTAGGTAATCTGTGTAGTTAGAGTAGTGCATTGCATTTGGCCATAATTGATTGGCCGGGGCGAATGTGTCGCCTGGCATCAATTTAGTTATCATTTTCGGTAGCAACATCCCATCCGCACTTTTTCATGCAAAGACGGTTGGCACGTCTCCGTAACGACTGCATCTAGTCAAATTTCGAAGCCTGGCATGCCCTACGCATTTCTAATTTGAAAGGTGTGAGTAAGTTTCGAAATGAGCTGCGAATTCGAGGGCAGATGGAACAACGAATTGTGTGTCATGCGCCCACTATAATGAAGTCCTGGGCTCGCAAGTAAACTAAGCATGGCCCTTTCAGAGCGAAGCGCTTTAGCGGCTTCGCTAGGCCGTCACTGTCCCTTTCGACGCCTCATTCCTGTGCCCACTCAAATCAAAGGAGGAGAGTGTTCACGTTGATGGCGTTATCACCGATATGGCTCGTCAAAAGCAAGACTTTCGTTTTATTAGTTTAAAGCCGTCCCCCTTTTTTCTTAACCACTACACCCTTTACCTCTTCTACCCTCCATCATTTCCATCGGCGACCAACTTCTCGTATCAGCCTTTGAATTGCCTTTCATCGTCCTCGCATCCTCTGACCACGTTAACCTAGTCTACAGCGACGAATAAAGACTATCCCAAATCGAAGTGCCGGCAGGAGGTCCTCTGCGTCACAAGCGCGACAAGGTGGTGACATTCCATTCAGAGTATCCTCAAGGAATAGTGCGCCCGGCCTTCACTGTGGAAAGTACTAATCCTCGCGGCGCTATTAAGCCACTTGCGCTAGCGATCGCGGTATGCGAGCGTTGCGTCAGCTAATCGAGCTGTGTATCAGCGGTTCAAACGGACACTGCTTGAAAGTGGCGTGACTCAGTTTTAAAAACTGGCTCTCACCTTTCCTGGGCTCACGAGGGTATGAATGAGAGCTCGAGAAAGTAGCGAAAGTCAACGTACAAACAAGGGGAGTCCTGCCACTTTCAAACGAGCGATGTAGTGTTGCGAAACGAACGGTGCTTCTACATCGCTCGATTCACTGGCACATAGTTCGATCCGCTGGTGCACCACTCGTAACTCGCGTTTCGTTAGTGAATCCCTGGATTCCCAGTCTGACACTGACCTTAGGGCCATCAGGTTGTTACGAATGGGGTAACGTATTTGAGCTGGGATGGCAAATGTCCACTATCCAGGCGAGAGCAGAAACGCAAGCTGTTCGGAAGCTTTAGACCATTGTCACCTGTTTACTCTTGGCGATGCCTCTCTGATTCCTTCAAGCATAAAGGAAAAGATTGGCAACGCTGACTGTCGACTCCATGCATTCGACTTGCTTCAAAATCGTAGACATTTCTTAAGAAATATGAAGCGTCTACAACGCTGTTTTGCTACAGTAGATATTTTCAAATACTGTGCTTCCCTCTCGAAAATAGGGTAACCATTACCAGTAGATGTTGAGATAAAGGTGGATTAGGTGCGAAATGAATGAAAACATTCTTTCCATGAGGCGAGATAGAAGTACCATCTTATCAATTTCAGCCAGTCAAAACCATTGAAAAAGCAAGCTCGGGAAAGAAACGTGGACGCCCAGCTGGCACTGGCAAGAAGGCCGGAAAGAAGTCAAAAGCAACGTGAGTTCCAAAGTAAATGATAAAATCAAAAACATTTTAATAGATTCATTATAGAAGTACACTCGTAAATGTGAGCTTATGACATGAATAATGAAATAATCTAATAAAAAATAATAAAATAAATAATAAAATTCATATGATTTCAGGCCGAAGAAGAAGAAAGCCATGAGCGAAAGACGAGGAAAGTGAAAAAGAGGTAAGAACAAAGACATTTATGTGAAGAGTTTGAGAGTTTAATCTATACGCATGGTATAAGTACTTCTTTTTGGAAACTCCAATGTCTCAAAGAAAGGGGTCGTGTTCAGATGTGAGCTTGGCGCTCTAGACGACACCCGGCGACTACAACCAGTGGGGTCCACAACAGCGCAGACAGGTTCTATTCCAGTAGTTGGGCGATCGGATAGTGCTGGAATGTTTCGCCTGCATTCCAGCATATCTTTATCCTGGGCATTAAAGGCGCACTGTGATTGCATCTTACATTGACGGTAATGTGCATGGCCCGTACGGGCCCCAATGATCTGGGGCCGTAAGGTAAATACTGGTTGGGGGACGAAAATCCTTTTAATTTTTTTTTGCTTCGAACGATACTGTTTCTTCATTTTCGGTACATGTTTACTTTAACCTACACACATATATTAAATGTAGGCCCTTTACCAGGACAATCCCAGTTGAGAAGACAAAGAAAATTTGAAGGGGTTTCCGCCCAGGGTCAACCCTATCGTTGTTACTTTTCGAAATTTTTTTACGACCCCCCTCCCCCAAGGTGGATTTGGTACGACCCCCTTTTTCACACCTCGACCACCATATTCCTCTCCATAACATTAACTCAACCCTCAAAACTCCGCCCACTTTTTCCCCCAAAAATGCCGTCGAGCGGGGGGGGGGAGGGGGGGTGGGGGCTGTGGCGTGTGCGCGTACGACCTATGCCCGAGACGACAAAAGGGTGCTTGCGTTGGGTGGTCCTCAATGCGTGACTCTCGTGCCCTTTAAAAGTGCCCGTGGATGGGCTAGGGTTTCGAGGAATGTATATAGTTCCCTCTAAAACAGTAAAAATATTCCCACGTAATTTTCCCACTTCCCTAAATTTTCAACCCAATTTGCCCTATTTCTCCCCATAATCTCACTGTTCTCCATTTCTAGGGGTGGTCCATATTACGCCGGCTGAAACGGCAAATTTTTATCTTGCGCGCCCTCCACTCGCCCAGCCTACTGCCCACGAAATCTTAGTTTCTCCTCAATCCCACACTTGATTTCGAGCAACTAAACTGGATACGACCCCCCCGCCTACAAACTCAACCAGGTACGACCCCCCCGTTGTTACTCGTAACAACGTAGGGTTGACCCTGTTTCCGCCCCAAACCTTCGGGAAGCATACGTTACAGCCCCTGATGAATGAAACGCGACGCAGCCGCGTGCGACATACGCCTGCCGCCCACAACTACTTTCTTTCTCATCCGTTTCTACTATAAAACATCTATTGCCAACTATTCGCTTCTATTCGGCCAGATGTTTCGTATCGCGCTCCATGATGGGCGCATTGTAGAGTTCGTCACGCAAGCGGCGGAGTTTGGAGGTATAAAGACAGCTCCAACTTGAGTATTCAGCTAGACCATTTCTACGAAACTTTTTGATTTACGTTTACGAAAATGGGATTAGGAGTCGCGCATCTACCTGGTACCCCTCGGAAAGGATCACTCTAAATATTGATTTCCTGCTGGCCTTATTCACGTGACATGTTCTTTTCCTCCAACCGATTTCCGCATTTCCAAAGAGCTCCTTTTTCAGGCAGAAGCTGTGGATGGCAACGAAAGTGACGACGAGAGAGCTTACGACTGAAATGCGGCCATCGGGCTCCATCAAACTCTCGGTACCTCCGTGTAGGCATTGATATTGTTGACAATCTGTTTTCCCATTACTCACTAACACTACCGTATGTGTTTTATAACGTTAAGACATGATCCGATTCTCTGATCTCCTTTTTTAATTTATTATTCACATTTAAGTTCAACAATAAACAAACTCACTAAGTGTCAACAATGTTATCAAACAAGGCACTAAAATTCGAAGCTGAACACTAGAAGTCTGTACGACATCTAGAATATTAAAATTGCGCACAATGCCAAAAATGCACCGAGCCTTGTTGCAAACAGACGTAAAAGTTACAGCGTTTTTGGTGCAGCAATACAATTTGATTTTTAATTTTTGCTCCTCCCTTGAAAAACACCGGAATCCATAACTTCCAACGAGAGAAAAGTTTTACTATCTCTCCTCAATATTATTATGTTCCTAAATAACTAAATATTTTCAAACAAGTAATATATTAGTTGTTGTAGAGAACGCAATCAGAGATCGACGAAACTCGATAATCTAGAACAAGTGGTTTGCGCAAATCGCTTGCGTCAGTTTACAACAGGGCTCGGCACAAATAGTGGCGAATGGGCAGTTTGCCAACTTCTCGCGTAGAGGAGGACAACCATTACATTTACTATAGCCTAAAGCTTCGGAATAATAGGATCTAAAATTACAAGATGAAGCTGACATAATGCAACACCACAGAAGCTCTTTGAAATGCCTCGCTGAGAATCGGACCTAGTGTCCACTTTCACGTTACTGGAGATATTCTAAGGCAGCACTACATCTAGCACAATGCTTTTCGGCGGGCTGCCTGCTCATCTTGCGACATCTATCACAGAACAATCCATCGCTTTCAATTGGAGTAATGCTATCCTCATCAGCGTCTTGAATTCTGACCATCGACACGCCAAACAGCTCACAAAGTTGTGAACTAAATGAGGTCTCCTCGTTCTGCCACTCCATCAAAAGGGTCCTTGTGGATGGCGTAAGCTCCAGAAGCGCTCCCTAAACAAGTTTTCAATAGTGGGAGCAATAAAATCAGAATAGGAGGAGCGTCAAGAAGGCTGTAAAATATGGCGCACACATTGGCTAGGCCAATATTCGGGCACTTGCTCGGGTCCAAGTTTACGAGGCACATCAACGAATCCAAATAGGAAGCGACATGATGCGCTTCCAAAACTGATGTGTCGGAAGTGATACTGAGAATCTTGGGCATATGTTTTTCATAACTACTCCATCTGACTTTGAATCAGTTTCAGTTCCGTGACCTAGAGGTGGCCATGCCGATTCCTACATCCCCGAGTGACCTACGATATGTCTAACTGGCCCCTTCTGGTTCCACCGGACGTAGTAGGTACAGACGAACGATACGAACACGTACAAATACTAAACTAGTAAAATATAGGTTCGAAAATAGGAACTTTTTTGAACAGATCGCACGATGGACCAGCAGAAGCAGCGAGATCAGCTCTCAATCGTATGACTGTTTCCATGACTTGATCCAGTTCAGGATGGAGTTCTATTTCATTATTTCCATCGAAGCTTAGCACATCCCGTAGTATCTGGCATTATTCAAATTAAAATACGAATTTTGTACAAAGTACAATAAAAAAAAAGATCTGAGGAATTACCAGCTTTTCGGTGCAGTTTGGCTGGTGTTGGAAGAACTCCGCAGCAAGGTGTGGAAGAAGTGGAGCCATGCACTTCGCCATGGTTGTGCCAACCCTTAAAGAAACCCTTCGCGGCAAATTCACACTTTCTCAACATGAATGCATCAGCCGTGATTACGGATACAGCACACAAACTCTCACGCATGAAGATTCGGTTTCCGAAGAGAAATAAACGTACAAAAACAACATTATATGGACATCGAAGATAATTTGGGCGGAGCCAAAGACGAGGCATGGAAAGAAGTTGGCCTTCAGCCGGTTATGTATCGGACGACGCAATGAAAGAATCGGGTTAAAGCGCGCGATTTCGGAGAGTGGAGACAAATCGATCGATAGAATAGGTTGCAGTATAAATAAGTGTGAGATGTGCAATAAAGCAGAAGGCCAGAAAGAATTCTCAGTGAAGGCACTCCAATACCAAGTGGAAGCATCCCGTCGCCAGCATTTGTGAAAGACGTCCATGGACTTTGAACGCGTAGCAGCCCTTTCAATTTTTCGAATTTTTTTTACCAAAATAAAAGCAATATTTCTGGCCTTTTTATTCTTATCGTGGACAATGAGTCTCAAGCCAGTGATTCATGGTTGAAACAGAATTATGATTTTTCCGTGAAGGATTTCTTTAAACCAGAAAAGGGAACCTGACCCGTCGCAATCTTCCACTCAGAGCCACACTTCATTGTCTTGTTCTCTCACCTCAACTATGTCTACACTCTTACCTCGCCCACTGCATTTTCGTCACAAACTCGTACAGGGCTCAAAATCGACTGTTGGAAATTAGGCCTTACATGGGAATCCTCAATGGTTACTTTTGCTTGCTTCACCAATGGGACCACCACTACCTCTATATTCGAACCTCGCTATCCACGCCCTGCTATCACGAAATGTAATTTCCAAAGTTTGTGCTCATTTGAAAGCAAACCCCAGGATGAGACTCACTCGTGAGAGATACCCCACGAGTAAACATGTTAGGTCTGTGCCTACAGAAGTCCCCCATCTCTGTCGCGTGAAATGCTATCATTACGGACTTGAGACCACCGCAACCATTCCCGCCCACTGCAGTGGTGTAAGGATCAACGATGAAGCCACCTGCTACATACAGCAATGTTACGATGTAGCGGCTAATAGCACTCCAAGGTAAGTATAAGAATGAAAAAACAGCAAACTGGCGCGGATATAATTAGAAGAAAAAACTTTAGTCCAGACACGCTTCTTCCCGTCTCAAGGTGTACCGCAGCTAAAGAAGCGGGGCCCGTTCAGGCGAAAATGTATCTCGGTGTTCGGTGTTTGACGGCTTCTTTTCCTTTCTTTTTTTTCGGATCACTTCCCACCCAAACATCATTAGTGAACGCTCTCACACAGTTTTATCCCGGTCTCGTCTTCAATGCAAATTTGCTTCTCTCTCACATAATATTTAATCAAAGGTCGCGGAGAGAAGATTATAGCCGATTACAGGAAGTCACCGAAACCACATTGCTTATCTTGATGTGGTCAAGGACACCAGACGACACGTGAACCTTATAGATACCGACAATGCTATCTTGCTTTGCCAAAATTGTCTCGTATAAGTGCTCGTTGAAGTACTACAATTCCCATGTTTGATTTTTGAGGGGTTAAAATGGACCCAGACCAAATGTTGTTTGTGCTTCTGTATTCTCACCATGAGGTTGTATGTGAAAGAGCTTATCCTGGCCCGTGTCTTGTCACTTCCGCCGTTTTCGAAGGCACAAGAGATTCTAAATAAGCTCGGCAGGTGCACACTACCCCATGAAAGGTCAGCTCTTCAGCTCACCTTCTTTCCATCGCAAAGACTAGGGAAACGCTCCACTCAGCCAGTGATCACTGGCGGATGACGTTGCTTTGCTGTCCTAATACAATCCTAGCATTGCAGGCAAGCTTTGGCAAAAGTAGGGAGGACGCGAGAGAGGAAATCGTACGGGAGAGAGCAAGCAGATGCGATCAAAGCGAGGTCTTCGTGCCTTTGTCCCGCATCGAGTTGCTATAGTAAAACGACTCTTCTGCTTAGGGAGACTAATCCTCTGTGTGTGAGGTAGCGGGGTTTAGGCTTCTGAACCCCGCTACCTCACTCACAGAGAGTTGTGAGTATTGTAAGGATCAAATCGCGACCCGTGCCTCTAAGTTATAAGAACGGTGCCCTCATTACCTGTGAAGTGTAAACTGTGCAGAAATGTGATCACTGGAACCGATTCCTGAACAGTACAGACGATCACGGACTAAACTCTGAAAATGGAAACTCTTTTATGTGCAGTGAACTAGGGAGAAACGGATGCAGCCCACAATGTAGTGAGCACTCATGCGCTGAGTGAAATGGAGAATGTCGAGGGCCGCCGAACGGAAGCGAAAGTTCTTGTAGTTTTCCACACATCGCACACCAAACTGCTGACTCTGGCGTAGGATCCACTGAAAAACATGACACCTTCAGATCAGTTGGCATTTGGGTCGCAATGACTTCAGAACAATGCGCATAACAATGATATGGAATCACGATGATAAAGTAGGGGCTAGTGAACCACGAAATATTGAGGTTCTGCTGGGGTCAGCCCCCGCTAGCCTTTTGTACATAAAGTCGCAACCGCACGAGACAACGACTTTCAAAGCAAACCCCCGATGGTTCATATTGGCTACTAATGGAATGACAAGATGCGTGTGCCCTCGTCGAAATCAAATGAGGTATCGCTGACTGAGCTGGAAACTAATGAGGGATTTGAGAGGTGTCAATTGTCAGATCCGGTTCTGGTCGGGTCCGTCCATGCTAGCTGTGGAGATCGCGTGTTGGCTGCGCGATCCCTGCGCAATTGCGTGACTGGCTGCGTGGGCCTTGCTCAATTCGTGTAAACTGTACCGCGTTGGAAGAAATGCTGCTGGCTTTCTAATGAGTTTTAATTGCTTAAATCGACCAATTATCCTACTTCTTTGTTTGCACTGGTGCGTAGGCGATTGCAACCGCAAAATGCTTGCGGAGTAGGCTAGATCAGACAGTTCATCCGGCTATACCCCTTCTTTATTTCGAGGAGGAAGAGACATTCAATCGTTTGAGGGCATTATCAGCAGTTTTCATTGTTTCTTTTTTTCAGTAACAGCCAACTGCATACAAATCACAGAAGGAGTTCACAATAAGAGCGATGGCCAAAGAAGGGGAAAGTTGCAGTTGGGAGACAGGTGGGCGCTGACCGACGCGCAACTTGCAGCGAAAGATTTGACTCCTCTAGCATGGCTCACTCTTGGCGCGGTTGGCGAGGTACGCTCACCGACTTTCTAATCACTCGCCGCAGGTTTAAACGTGTCGAGTGATTACGTAGCAGAAAGAGCTTAGTATTAACACATTGATGACATTGAGACGCGGTAACGCGTCTCACTTTGCGCACCTCGTGGGACATTGAGACGCGTTACCGCGTCTCACCCTTATCATCCCTTTTTCTAGGGCATGCGCAGCTTTTTCCCGAATTGTTTGTCTCTCTTATATGGATTAGAACACAACATTATTGTGAACGACATAGGTCATTGTTTGTTCAAATATGCTCCAGTTTAGAAGAAGTTTTCCAAGCTCACCGAAACCGGCGGCCCGGTTCATCAATAGTTTTGCTATTCTCATGAACACGTCAATAAAAAAGGGTAGTGAAAGTAAATGCAATTCTAAGGAGACAGAAAAATACATGTTTCACTGGGTATAACCACATCAAAAGAGCTTTCGCATTCACTACAGATAAAATGACTAAAGTTTCCTTTTTCATTACCATTACATGTTCTTTGATCGGAACTTCGTCACTATATACTCCATTACCTTCTACGCATTGACTGTTATTGAGATGTTTTTGTACCACTGGTGCTTTAAAAAGTTATCAATAAAAATACACGGATCCGAGGTGCGGCGGTCGCACTCGCAAAATCGGTCCGGTCCCACACGGCCAAAAAAGCCAAAACGCGCGCGGTCGTCAATGTGTTAAAGAGGACACAGCGATGAGAGTCCCATCAATGCGCAAATCGCTGGGCAAGGAAGGGATCCTATTTCTCGGGTTCCGGGCCGTTCAAACGTTTCCTTTTTCATCTGTGCTCCATTGACCACCTCTACCATCATTCCCAATGAGCTAGCTTTTCGTCGTTAAGTCTTCTTTTAATTATCCACCGCTTTTACCCCCACCAAATCGATATGAAAGTGTTGCCTTGAACACGCAACTGAATTTTTTTCTAACAAACCTGATCGAGAAGAGGAAGCGGTGTCTGGGGACGATTGCCTTCATAACCGTAACAGCCGCCAAGCAAGAAACGTAGTGAGTTTCGAATGGACACCAACTGAAATTGTTTTGTGACATAGATTATGCGACTAAGTGTGATCCGTCCACTGGGTCATTCAGTATGTGGGGAGAGGAGGGGGTGGTCGCTTCTGAGTTTTGAACAGAGGGATTGCATTCGACAGGACTGGCATTGTATTCGGCATATTGAAAACGGAAGTTTTCCGAAGGAGCGAAGTTTTGCGCGAGAAAATCCGAGAATTCCACAATTTTTGCCGTTTTATTTCTCAATAATGTCTCCCACCTGCTCATCGGACTTTTCCAGAGGAAGTATGTCATAAGGTATGAGCAGGATTGGCTACACTAAATCAATCATCATATTTATGTTAGGGCACGTTGTACGGACGTAAGCAAACCAGCCCTTTTGGCGCTTCGGCTGGGACCGCATGCTGAATTTTGGGGAGGGGATGGAGTCCCCGGCGGTTTACGGACCACTTCAACTCGGTCCTTAGAACCGCCACAATTTGGTGCCTACCTCAGAACTAAGCTTTAAAGAGTGGACGGTTCCATCCCCACTCCAAGGCTTAGTCCTGGGGTGAGCAAACCAGCCCTTCTGGCGGAGCTGCTGGACCAGCTGCACCACTTGGGTCAGTACTCTCCTATCGTACCAACCGAGTTGAAGTAAACCGTCGACCGTTGGGGACCCCATCCCCTCTCGAACATTCAGCATACGGTCCCAGCCGAAGCGCCAAAAGGGCTGGTTTGCTTACCTCTGTTGTGCGTTGGAAACATGAC